GAATTGTCTCAAATTAAGGCAAAAGAGCTAGGCACTATATCCTCCATCCACCGGTCACTGGAGGTAGGCCCCCTGAAAAGGAGTGTAAACTTGGGCAATACAGCTTCCTTTGGCCAAGTCCAATTGCTGGGTAGACATCCAGGGGCTAAATGAGTGCTCCAGTTTTTTTTTTTTTTTTTTTTTTTTTTGAGACAGAGTCTTGCTCTGTTGCCCAGGCTGGAGTGCAGTGGCACCATCTTGGCTCACTGCAATCTCCACCTCCCAGGTTCAAATGATTCTCTTGCTTCAGCCTCCCAGAGTAGCTGGGACTACAAGCATGCACCACCACAGCCAGCTTTTTGTTTTAGTAGAGATGGGGTTTCACCATGTTGGCCAAGCTGGTCTGGAACTCCTGACCTCAGCTGATCTGCCCACCTCAGCCTCCCAAAGTGCTGGGATTACAGGGATGAGCTACCGCACCTGGCCAAGTGCCTCAGTTTTATAAGGAATACGTGGCCTCTGGACTGTGTGCTGCAGCATATACTATACCAGTGGTTCTTAAATTTCAGTATGCACCAGAATCCCCTGGAGTGCTTATAGGTCCCACCCTCAGTGTCAGATTCAGCAGGTCTGGGGTGGGGGTAAGAATTCATTTCTAACAATTTCCAAGTGATGCTGATGCTGGTGGTCTAAGGATCACACTTTGAGAACAATTATACTATATATTACTGGGTTAAATCCAGCAACATTGAATAATTTTTTTTTTTTTTTTTTTGGAGACGGAGTCTGGCTCTGTTGCCCAGGCTAGAGTGCAGTGGCCGGATCTCAGCTCACTGCAAGCTCCGCCTCCGGGTTTACGCCATTCTCCTGTAGCTGGGACTACAGGCGCCTGCCACCTCGCCCAGCTAGTTTTTTGTATTTGTTGTTGTTGTTGTCATTGAGACAGTCTCGCTTTGTCGCCCAGACTGGAGTGCAGTGGCCAGATCTCAGCTCACTGCAAGCTCCGCCTCCCGGGTTCACGCCATTCCCCTGCCTCAGCCTCCTGAGTAGCTCCGACTACAGACGCCCGCCACCTCGCCCGGCTAGGTTTTTGTATTTTTTAGTAGAGACAGGGTTTCACCATGTTAGCCAGGATGGTCTCGATCTCCTGACCTTGTGATCTGCCCATCTCGGCCTCCCAAAGTGCTGGGATTACAGGCTTGAGCCACCACGCCCGGCCGAATAATTTTTTTTTTAAGAGATACTGTCTGGTTCTGTTGCCTGGCTGGTGAGCAGTGACAGGATCATACATAGCTCACTGAAGCCTTGAACTCGTGGGCTCAAGTTCTCTGCCCACCTCAGCCTCTCAAGTAGCTGAGATCACAGGTATGTACTACACACTCAGCTAATTTTTTTCTTTTTTCTTTTTTGAGACGGAGTCTTGCTCAGTCGCCCAGGCTGGAGTGCGGTGGCAAAAAAAATTTTTTTGTATTTTTAGTAGAGATGGGGTTTTACCATGTTAGCCAGGATGGTCTCGATCTCCTGACCTCGTAATCCGCCTGTCTCGGCCTCCCAAAGTGCTGGGATTACAGGTGTAAGCCATCGCTCCCGGCTCAGCTAATTTTTTCTTTTAATTTTTGTAGACGTGGAGTCTTGTCATATTGCCCAGGCTGGTCTCAAACTCCTGCCCTGGTGGCTCATGCCTTGGCCTCCCAAAGCTTTAGAATTACAGGCATGAGCCACCATTCCCAGCCCAAAGTTGAATAATTTGTCCATGTTTATCATTTTTCATTGTATCATTGTATCATTTTATCATTGTAGTTTATCATTTATAGATGCTATTATATAAAATTTTCTGGCTAGACTGGTGTTCTTCTTTGACTCATCTTTGCCTTTTTTGTAACCCTAGTTCACTAGAAACTAGATTTTACTAACACACTTGGTTTATAAAACTGTTAGTAGGCAGACTTTTTTCTGGCATCCGTGTTTACAGTGATGACATATAATTTACAGTGATGATATATAAATCAGTAAAAGGATTACTATTGTCTACAATGAGAACCAGTTTTTTTCAACCTAACTCCACTTTCATCAAAATCTGAATCAGCTGGGCACAGTGGCTCATGCCTGTAATCTCAGCACTCTGGGAGGCCGAGGCGGGCAGATCACGAGGTCAGGAGATTGAGACCATCCTGGCTAACACGGTGAAACCACGTCTCTACTAAAAATACAAAAAAAAAAAAAAATTAGCTGGGCGTGGTGGTGGGCGCCTGTAGTCCCAGCTACTCGGGAGGCTGAGGCAGGAGAATGGCGTGAACCCAGGAGGCAGAGCTTGCAGTGAGCTGAGATCGCACCACTGTACTCCAGCCTGGGCGAAACAGTGAGACTCCATCTCAAAAAAAAAAAATCTGAACCAATGACATGAAAGTTGAGAGGTAGAGAGTGGCGAGAAAATGATTTTCCTGTTAAGGAAGGAAGTTAACATTTATTGGCTATTATGTGCTAGGTACAGTGCTAGGTGCTTTCTTATACATTATTGAACACTTCTTTCAATCCCTTCACAAGGGCAAGTATTTTTGTTTTTGTTTTTGTTTTTTTTTAAGATGGAATGGAGTCTTGCTCTATTGCCCAGGCTGAAGTGCAATGGCGTGATCTTAGCCCACTGCAGCCTCCGCTTCCTGGGCTCAGGTGATTTTCCTGGGTCAGCCTCCCGAGTAGCTGGAAATTACAGGCATGCGCCACCACGCCTGGCTAATTTTTGCATTTTTAGTAGAGACAGGGTTTTGCCACGTTGGCCAGGTTGGTCTCGAATTCCTGACCTCAGATGATCCACCCACCTTGGCCTCCCAAATTGCTAGGATTACAGGCATGAGCCACCGCGCCCAGCCTGCATGCTCTTTCTCTGTGGAACACCACCCACGCCAACTAAACTACATTCCCTGTTTCTCTCTTAAAGCACCCTGTTCTTTTCCTTCAGCACACTTGAACTTATAATTCACATACGGTATTTGTTTATTTCTTTAACATCTGACTCCCACTGCAGAGGACCATGAGGGCAAGGACAATGTCTATTTTGCTAATCACCAAATCTTCAGTACCTAGCACAGTGCCTGCAAACAGTAGGCACTGAGTGATCTGTTAAAGGAATAACTCGCAGGCTTATGCCTTAGTAGACTGGTAATGCCATCCACTGAGGCCAGAAACACAGAGGAGCAAGAATTAACAATGGCTATTGCTAGTGAAGTAACTCCACTCTTCTACATAGTTTTGAGGCTTCTATTAATCTGGGCACATTGCTCCATTCCTTCCTATTTCACTGGACACCCTTCCTCACAGTTGTCTGCACCTTCATCCTTATTTTTCCAAATTCTTACTTAGAAGCTCACCCTCTTCTTCTTCTTGAATTTAAGTTACCTTTTTTTAAAGACTCACTTCCCCAAAGTTGCTTCTCCTGATTCAAACTTTGGAACAGCTATCACCGGCCTGGATACAAATTTCTAAAGTGCCAGCCTGGGAAAATCTTATGAGAACAGAATCTCCACTAAGGCAGAAACTTGTTTCACTATTAACTCACCAACACCAAGAACACATTCTAGCACAGTCAATGCATCACACTGTGAAAAGAATTAAAGAATTTAAAGCTGGAATGAGTTGGAACAAATGTGAGCTGGTATCTTGGTTATCTGCAGGCTATGCGGTCTCAGGCAAATGACTAAGTTCACCTAAGTCCATTTCTTCAGTTAAGAAATGAAGCTGGTTCTCCCAGAAAGCTCATATTGCCCAGACTGTAATAGAGATGATGATGATAGGGTGATGGGCCTTTTTAAATTGTGGAAACAGGCTCACGCCTGTAATCCCAGTACTTTAGGAGGCTGAGGCGAGAGGATCACTTGTGGTCAGGAGTTCAAGACCAGCCTAGCCAACATGGTGAAACCCCATTTCTACTAAAAATACAAAGATTAGCGGGGAATGGTGGCGGGAGCCTGTAGTCTCAGCTACTTAGGAGGCTGAGGCAAGAGAATCACTTGAACTCAGGAGGTGAAGGTTGCAGTGAGCTGAAATCACACCACTGCACTCCATCCAGCCTGAGCAACAGAGCAAGACTTCATCTCAAAAAGTAAATAAATACATAAATAGTGGAAACACTGCGGAAGAAAAACGATCGCTGGAGAGCCTGTGCACTCACATACATCCTTTAATTTTTACAACAGCTTCCGGGGGAAGGCGATTCTACTTTAGAGTTTTTCTTCCTTTCTAGCTGGGAGTTACCCTCCAAATTTTAACCTAATGATGTAAGCAAAATAAGCACACTGAAGAGGGTGAGAAGAAAAACGGCTCACGACAGTCTGAGCTCTGTGAGGTCTGCAAAATGTATAAGGCCTAGAGGGACATGAGTATGGGACTTCGGTTATGCCCACCCCCTGCCCCCACATACACAATCCCATGCATACCCAATTGTCTAAAGTCATTTCATTCCTGACTATCGGCCTCATCCATTACTTTTTTTTTTTTTTTTTTTTTTTTAAGACAGGGTATACTCTGTCTCCCAAGCTGGAGTGCAGTGGTGCGATCATGACTCACTGCAGCCTCGACCTCCTGGGCTCAAGAGATCCTCCTGTCTCAGTCTTGACAGTAGCTGAGGCTACAGGTCCGCGCCACCAAGTCGGCCCCATTATCTTCGTATTCTTAGAATTTGTAATACACCCCGGGCGCGGTGGCTCTCCTGTAATGCCAGCACTTTGGGAGGCAGAGGCGGGCAGATCACCTGAGGTCCGGAGTTCGAGACCAGCCTGACCAACACAGGGAAACCCCGTCTCTATTAAACATACAAAAATTAGCTGGGCATTGGGGCGCGCGCCTGTAGTCCCAGGACTCCGTCTCCAAAAAAGGAAAAAGAATTTATCATACAAATAACAACAGGTAGCAAATTGATAGCTTTTTTTTTTTTTTTTTTTTTTTGAGACGATGTGTCGCCCAGCTGGAGTGCAGTGGCGCGATCTCGGCTCACTGCAACCTCCGCCTCCCGGGTTCAAGCGATTCTCCCGCCTCAGTCTGCCGCGGATTGCCAGGGTCCGCGCTGAGAGGACGTCAGGGGAGTCAGTCCCCCAGAATAACGGCTGAGCATGAGGGCTGCCTAACCTTGAAACCCAGCGCCCTCCTGATCCACACGTCCTAAGACGAATAAATCCTCACAGTCTTTGTGAAAATCCACTAGCAGAAGCACGTCCAAAAGTCTTTACCTCCCCAAACAAGTCTCAGAAGCGGGAAAACCAACGCCGCGAATGGGCGGGAAAGCCACAGCGCCTGCAATCGCTTCACCTCATTAGCTAATTTTGCTGTCCTTCTCAGTGGCCCGCCTCCCTTGCTCGCGGGCGATATTTTCATTGGCTTTCGTCTTCTAGGCGTCCAATCTCATTGGTTTGCTTTTCTGTTCGTCAGGCTTGGGTGCCTGGTGAAAGGCGGAGAGGGCGTCACTATTGGGCTGGAAGCCCCGCCTCCGCGTGCCGTGTGCAAAAACAAACAGCCGTTAGGTAGGCGGTGCCGGGGGGGCGGGGTCTGGCTAGAAGGAGGCGCGCGATTGAACAGCCGCTGGGGTTCGAACCAGCAAGACAAGCGGGCATTGGCCGCAGCAGCGCGAGGCGGGCACGGGGTATTGTCCGGCTCCGGCGGCGGCGGTCGGTGCTGCGAGAGCGGCGGCGGCGGCGCAGGTCGTCAGCGGGCGGGCGCGCGGCCGAGCGGAGGCAGAGTCGGCGCCGAGAACATGGTAAGGGCGGCCGGGTGGGTCGGGGGCACGGGGCCTAGGACAGGGCCGGGGGAGCAGAGCGCGGAGGCCCCGGCGTCGGCGCCGCTACCTGTGGAGTCGGGAGTTTGCGGGTGTCGGGGCTTCGTCCGGTCGAGCCCCTCGCCACCCGCCGGGGGGCGCCATATCCCGGCTGCGGAGCCCGACACGGGTCCCCGGGTGAGAGCTGGGCCTGGCCGGGTAGAGCGCGAAGTCTGTTCCGAGCCGGACAGGTCTGTCCCGACGCTGGTGACGCTGCACCGCCCGTCTTAGAAGGAGGAGGACACCAGAATCCGGCTTGGAAACGTAGAAACAAGTGCCGGATCTTAATGTGATCGCTCCTCTGTATGAATGAGGTCAAACCGGCTGCCGCTATACAAGTTAGATAAGTCTTTGGCGATGTTTGGTTACGTAATCTCTCTGGCAGTCAATTTGAGGGTTTCTGCGAAAGGGTGCTTGTATTTGTGGTCTTTTGAGCTACAAAGAATGGTTTTATAGACCAGAACCACACGATTTGTTCTAGGTGATTGCATAGGTTTGAAATGAACGCCCGTTATCTTCTGACCCCCATGCAGTTTGCGGTTTTCATTATAAAACGGTACTTTCCTTTGCCCTTGCTATGAATTTTCAGTCTTAAAGCATTCATCTTTTCATTCTGAAATTCAGATCTAGATAAGAAAAGTGTGGCTTTAAAAAAATGAAAGTGAATAGAACTTCAGCCCCATTTTAAAGTTGAGGGAAAGGAGAAAGTGCTAAAGGGTACGCTCTGAGTTGCATCAAAGATTGTGTAAAAATAGTAAGATTGTTATTATGGAATCTTATTTTTGCCGGTATTCGTGCTTTAAGCATTCTGTTGAAAGGTTACTTCAACGGGAGCTACCTGCTTAAAAGTTAACACCAGGCTGTCATTTCTCATACTGCAGATAATATTAGATGATTTGTGCTTGATGTGTCAGATACGGTATTTAATAGACTTAACACCTAACTATAAACAGATTGGCCAGTCTAGAGGACAAAATGTTTGGTTATTGTAAAATACCCAAATCTTATAGCTGGAATAGACTTGAGGGACAATTGCTTCCAACGTCTAACGTATAGTTTATTGTTATTGTAAAGTACTATACTTTAACAGACTGAGATACAGCCTACATCTAATCTGTAAAAGGATTTGCTCAAACAGATGATTTTCATGATTGTAGTTTTTTGTTTGTTTGTTTGTTTTGAGACGGAGTCTCACTCTGTCGCCAGGCTGGAGTGCAATGGCGCGATCTTGGCTCACTGCAACCTCCATCTCCTGGGTTCAAGCAATTCTCCTGCCTCAGCCTCGCGAGTAGCTGGGACTACAGGTGTGCGCCACCACGCCCAGCTAATTTTTTGTATTTTTAGTAGAGATTGGGTTTCACCATGTTGGCCAGGATGGTCTCGATTTCTTGACCTCGTGATCCCCCTGCCTCGGCCTCACAAAGTGCTGGGATTACAGGCGTGAACCACCGCGCCTGGCCGATTCTAGTTTCTTAGATGTTTTTCAGTCTCTAGTGATACGCTGTATGTTTTACATCCACTTACCAGTAGCTAAAAATACATAAGTATTAACATAAGCTAAAACACAGGAGACACTGAGTTGTCGTTCTTGATAGATTTTAAACCTGAAAGGAAGTAAGCAGATATCTGTTAAAACTGACATGAAAGTGTCTTAGTATCCAGTTTGCAAGTTTATCCAAGTGAAATGAACTCCCTCTTCCTCCTGTGTGTGTGTGTGTGTGTAATTTTTAAAAACCAGCAACCTTAACTCAGGTTAATATGAAGTCAATTATTGGAATTAAAAAATTATATTTGGTTTCTCAAGCACCAATTAAAATGAATGTTCAAAGTAGGGAGGCTATGTATACAGTTTGAGGGGATATCGGAAAGAAAGTAATTATCCATTTATTATATAATTTCATATTCAGATAAGTTTGATACCATGAAAGTTTTCTTTTGTTAAGTATGAGAATTGTATCGAGAGTCTCTAAATATTGGAACTAGTCAGTATTGAGACTTTTAAAATCTGACTATATGTCTACTTCTTTAAAAAGCAAATAGAACAGCAAATATGATGTATCTGAAACAGTGAGGATAAAATTGCTTAAGCAGAGTAGTTATTATATGACCTGGGGAGCCTGGGGAGTTTTGTAGTTGTTGGCTTTTCATTAGTGACTAGTTCTTATTTTTTCCAATCCAGTCATAGGAAGACAGTGATTATAATTTTAGATGCCAGTTGAGAGGTTTTTAAGTGTTATATATTAGGCAAATAGAGATAAAAAGGGTTTTTTATTTGAGAAGTAAGACCTGTCTTGTTAGGGGAGCCGACCTCAAAAATCCAAAAATTATATTTTTCTTATATAACAACATAGTCAAAATTATTGAAATATATGAGGCATTCTGGTAGAAATCAAGAACATCTCAGTTCTTCCTGATAAACTTAAATCAGTCTCTTGCTGAATTACCTAATGTAAGAGAGTATGAATTAGTTCTTAGATTTTTATTTTTCCTGTTTCTAATACCTGCCAAGGTTTTACTGTTTTTCTTCCATATTATCTTGGGTGACGCGCTTAATTCACTTAGACATGCGATTAGAGGAAGTATACAGGGGTAATTTTTAGCTTTAAAAAATCTTTAAGGAATGGGTTAGCTACAAAGGGGATATGCCATTTCAAAGCTTACCATCTGTTTTGAAAGTATAGCCCCTCAAACAACCAATCCTGTAAACTGATTTAACAGTAAAGAAATAATCTATTTAAATGGTAAAAACAAAATATATGAGAGAAAATTAGTTTTCTTAAGTCAGACCCTTAGTATTTCCTCCTTAGAGGCAAATAGCATTTCTAATTTATTGTGTCACCTTCTAGAAATATATGTGTACACACATACTTTATAATACCCCATATTTACTTAATAGTTCAGTACATTTGCACATACTTTACCTTTTTCATGCAGAAATAGGTTTTTTTTTAAGCGTACAGTTCAGTGGCATTAAGTACATTTATAGTGTGCAACCATCACTGCCATCTATCTCGAACTTTTTCATCTTCCCAAGTGGAAACTCTACCCATTCAACAGTAACTCGGTCAGGCGCGGTGGCTTACGCCTGTAATCCTAGTACTTTGGAAGGGCAAGGCAGGCAGATCGCTTGAGGTCAGGAGTTCAAGACCAGCCTGGCCAACGTACAGAAGCCTTGTTGGTACTAAAAATACAAAAATTAGCAGCGTGTGGTGGTGCACACCTGTACTACCAGCTACTTAGGAGGCTGAGGCAGGAGAATCACTTGAACCCAGGAAGCAGCTACCCCTGGCAACCACAAATCTGCTGACTATGAACTTTACTATTTTAGGAACCTCATAAGTAGAATCATATGGTTTTTGTTTTTTTTGTAACTGTCTTATTTTCCTTAGCATAATGTCCTCAAGGCCCATTTATGTTGTAGCTTGTGTCAGAATTTCCTTTTTAAAGCTGAATACTATCCCATTATATATATATCATTTTGTTCATCCATCATTGGACACTCAAGATTGTTTCCACCTTTTGGCTATTCTGAATAAAGCTTCTGTGAACATGGGTGTACAAGTATTTGTTTGAATCCTTGCTTTCAATTTTTGGGTGTATACCTAGAAGTGGAATTGTTAGACTATATGACAATTCTGTGTTTAATTTTTTGAGGGTTTTTTTTTCTTGGAATATGCTTTATTTTTCTGAGAGTTCTAAATATTTCTGTGGAAGTAATATATGTTACATTGACATTGATAAAAATTGTGAAATATTTCATGTATGCATAAAAGTTATATTGACTTGCAAGATTCTTCAATCTGGAAATTGATAAATATGTTAGTTTTTAGAAATCTCATATTTTTCAACCTGGCACTGTGGCTCATGCCTGTAATCCCAGCACTTTGGGAGGCCAAAGCGGGTGGATCGCTTGAGGTCAGGAGTTCAAGACCAGCCTGGCCAACATGGTGAAACCCCATCTGTACTAAAAATGCAAAAATTAGCTGTGTGTGGTGGTGCGCACCTGTAATCTCAGCTACTCAGGAGCCTGAGGCAGGAGAATCACTTGAGCCTGGGAGGCGGAGTTTGCAGTGAGCCAAGATTGCCCCACTGCACTCCAACCTGGGCAACAGAGCTAGACTCCATCTCAAAAAAAAAGAAAAAAGAAAAATCTCATATTTTCAATAAGCGTTTAAGGTTTGACTTCTTTGATAGAAATTATAAAAGGTGATAGAATCCCATGTATATGAGGAAGGGGATCACCTACATATTTTTAACTACCTAAAGTAAAAGTAGAAGAAATTCTGTTTCCAGAATATTTTTGAAGTAGTATTTTCAACTCTTTTCATTCAAAAATTTTTTTTTGCATTTAGGCTGGAGGCAAAGCTGGAAAGGACAGTGGGAAGGCCAAGGCTAAGGCAGTATCTCGCTCACAGAGAGCTGGGCTACAGGTAATGAATCCATGCTGTCGTTACATTACTATTTTCTTTACTGTTGTAATTTATGACCTATGTTTCATCGATTACAGAAGTCTACTTGTATTACTACAAACTTTTTTTTTTTTTTTTGAGACAGAGTCTCGCTCTATCACCAGGTTGGAGTGCAGTGGTACGATCTCGGCTCACTGCAACCTCTGCCTCCTGGATTCAAGCGATTCTCCTGCCTCAGCCTCCTGCGTGGCTGGGACTACAGGTGCGCACCACCATGCCCAGCTAGTTTTTGTATTTTTAGTAGAGACGGGGTTTCACCATGTTGGCCAGGATGGTCTCAATCTCTTGACCTCGTGATCCGCCCGCCTCAGCCTCCCAGAGTGCTGGGATTACAGGCGTGAGCCACTGTGCCTGGCCGAGAAATACTTTTAATCAGGAAACTTGGAAGGCCAAACTGTAAACTGTTATCCTCTTGGCAGTGGTAAGCCATTGAGAGTTTAAGCAAGAGGACAACATGATCCAGATGATACCGAAAGAAGGGGGATGGGAATTTATATTGATGTGCACATTCTGTATTTTAGGTTTCCATGTATATTCCTAATTAGAATTTATTTTAAGGCATACTTAATTTGAAGTAGAAAATGGAAGGCCAATGGAGATTATTGCAGTGATTTAGGAATAAAGTAACGTACTTGAATGGGAAGCAGTAGAAATCATGTGTGTACAGAAAATAGGTGAAGCAGTGTAAGGTTAAGAGGAAGTCAGAAGTTTCTCTAAGGCTTAGAACCTAAGGAACACAGGAGTTTGTAACAGGGTCAAGTTATGAGTAAATTTAAATGGGATCTTTTTTTTTTTTTTTTTTTTTTTTTTGAGGCAGAGTCCACTCTGTCGCCCAGGCTGGAGTGCAGTGGCACCATCTCGGCTCACTGCAAGCTCCGCCTCCCGGGTTCGCACCATTCTCCTGCCTCAGCCTCCTGAGTAGCTGGGACTACAGGCGCCCGCCACCACGCCCGGCTAATTTTTTTGTATTTTAGTAGAGATGGGGTTTCACCGTGTTAGCCAGGATGGTCTCGATCTCCTGACCTCGTGATCCGCCCGCCTCGGCCTCCCAAAGTGCAGGGATTACAGGCGTGAGCCACTGCGCCCGGCCTAAATGGGATCATTTTGAAGTTCACTAAAACATCCATGTGAAAATGTCCAGAAGTTGGAAACATGAGTTCAGCTTTCTAAGAGAGGTGATCGAATTAGGAATTTGAGATCATTTATGTAAAATTGATAGTTTATGTTATGGATGAGTTTCCTAACCTAAGGGAATGAGAAAGGAGCACAAGGATATTGGAGGACCCCTCAAAAACTTTAAGAAAAGGCTGAGGAGTAGTCAGGGTTGGTATGAGAACTCTGAAGTCTAAGAAGAAATGTTTTTGAGGGCCTACTGTATGCCAGACAACATACTGGTTACTAAGGATACAAAGGAAAAGAAGACATAAATCTTGCTCTTAAGAAGCTTTTGGTCACTTAGAGACGAAGTATAAATGCAAAAAAAAAAAAAGATTGCTTGTGTTTATTAAGGAAGTAAAATGTCACTCCTGGCCTTCAAAAGTACTGTTTAACAGAAACCAAGTTAGGGTTAGGAAAAAATGGGTGACAAGAAAGTAAGGGTTTCAGGATTTGTTTTTTAAATTCAGTCTTTGGAAAGAGACTTTCTAGACTGTAACTGGAAGCAGTTTTCATAGATTGTGAAGTTTTCAGTAAAGTCTGTAGAAGGAAAGGAACCAGCGGAAAGGAAGTAATTGTAGCTGTTGAAATAATGCAACAGTGAAGGGATGAGGTAGGCCTGTAAGAAGGGATGAGGTAGGCCTGTAAGAAAGGGCACAGACAGGCTGGGCGCAGTGGCTCATGCCTGTAATCCCGAACACTTGGGAGGCCAAGGTGGGCAGATCACGCAAACCCCATCTCTACTAAAAATACAAAACAGCCAGGCGCTCCTGGCGGTTCTTATAATCCCACCTACTCAGGAGGCTGAGGCAGGAGAGTCGCTTGAAACCTGGGAGGCAGAGGTTGCAGTGAGCCAAGATGGCACTACTGCACTCCCAGCCTCGCGACAGAGTGAGACTCTGTCTCCCAATAAAAAATAATAAAGGGCTGTTGAAATAATGCAACAGTGAAGGGATGAGGTAGGCCTGTAAGAAAGGGCACAGACAGGCTGGGCGCAGTGGCTCATGCCTGTAATCCCAGCACTTTGGGAGGCCAAGGTGGGCAGATCACGCAAAACCCCATCTCTACTAAAAATACAAAACAGCCAGGCGTCCTGGCGTGCCTATAATCCCACCTACTCAGGAGGCTGAGGCAGGAGAGTCGCTTGAAACCTGGGAGGCAGAGGTTGCAGTGAGCCATGATGGCACTACTGCACTCCAGCCTCGGCGACAGAGTGAGACTCTGTCTCAATAAAAAAAATAATAAAGGGCACAGACAAGTGGAATTAGGATACTCTGAAATGAGAAAAGTACCCTCTTTTTCGGAAAGCAGAATCACAATAAGATAATAGTACTGATTTTTCTTAACTATCAGATCACCTCTTGAAACTGAAGAAAGAACATTTAATAAGATCTGAGGAAGGTACTGGAGGTTCAAAGTTGCATGTGCCTTTTATCTGAAGAAATTAACTAGACAGGAATTTGACCCATGGGTCATGTTGTGAATGTATAGTTGATGACAGCCCTGCATGGTTTTTCTTCATTTTAGAGTGATATTCTCCATATTATGCAGAGGTTAAAGATTTTGGACTGATTACCAGAACATAGACACAGGCCCTGGGAACTGTTAATTGCCTAATACATTTGACTTCTGATATGTGTGATCAAGTTTTTTATTATTTCATGCTTACTCACATTTTTCAGCCTTTGATTACAGTCAGTGCAATGTTAAGACTCTGCAGTGCTTCCCACTAAGACATCTCTCTTTTAGTTTCCTGTGGGCCGCATCCACAGACACTTGAAGACTCGCACCACAAGCCATGGAAGGGTGGGTGCCACTGCTGCCGTGTACAGTGCTGCGATTCTGGAGTACCTCACTGCAGAGGTTTGTACAGGAATGTCTGTTGTATATGGCAATCCAGAAGGTGCACTAGTCTAAGTGACATAAACCCATGGAATATATTTGAAAAAAGATATTATGCTCATTGGGGCTTTTTTGTTTTTTTGGAGATAGAGTTTCACTCTTGTTTCCCAGGCTGGAGTGCAATGGCCAGTCTCCGTTCACTGCAACCTCTGCCTCCCAAATTCAAGCAATTCTCCCACCTCAACCTCCCAAGCTAGGACTACAGGTGTGCACCACCGTGCCCAGCTAAATTTTTGTATTTTTAGTTGAGACAGGGTTTCACCATATTGGCCACACTGGTCTCAAACTCCTGACAAGGTGATCCACCTGCCTCGGCCTCCCAAAGTGCTGGAATTACAGGCTTGAGCCACCACGTCCGGCCTCATTGGTTTCTTTAACAGTGCAGTTTGAGATGCATCTTGTCAGCTATTACCCAATACTAATGTAAAAGAACCTTGGTGTACTTATTTTTAAAGCTAAGCAAGGGACTGGGCACGGTGATTCACGCCTGTAATGCCAGCACTTTGGGAGGCTGAAGTGGGTAGATTGTACACTTGAGTCCTGGAGTTCCAGACTAGGCTGTGTGACAGAGTAAGACTCTATCTCAAAGTAAAAAAAAATTTTAAAGTTAAGCAAAGGCCAGCAATCTCTTATCTTTTATTTTCATTTATTTATATTGAGACTGGGTCTCACTCTGTCACCTAGGCTGGAGTACAGTGGCATGATCATAGCTCATTCCAACCTCAAACCTCCTGGGTTCGAGGGATCCTCCTGCCTCAGCCTCCCTAGTAACTGTGACTTCAGGTTTGTGCCGCCACACCTGGCTAATTTTTTTTTTTTTTTTTTGAGATAGGTGCTCCCCAGGTGGAGCGCAGTGGCACAGTCTTGACTCACTGCAACCTCCACCTCTTGGGTTCAAGCAATTCTCCTGCCTCAGCTTCACCAGTAACTGGGATTACAGGCACCCGCCACCACACCCGGCTAATCTTTGTATTGTTAGTGGAGACAGGGTTTCACCATGTTGGCCAGGTCAGTCTTGAATTCCTGACCTCAGGTGATCCACCCACCTCAGCCTCCCAAAGTGCTGAGATTACAGGTGTGAGCCACCACGCCAGTTGCTAATTTTTTATTTTTATTTTTTGTGGAGTTGGGGGCTCCCTATGTTGCCCAGACTGGTTTCCAACTCCTAGCCTCAAGTGGTCCTCCCAAGGTGCTGGGATTACAGACATAAGCCACCATATCCCAGTGAACTTTGAAGTATGTATATAATCAGTAGAAGTATTTGTGAAGTTACAGCATAATGTTTTAGTTTATGAAGATTTGCGATGATGTAAAGTTTTCCCAGTGTGATGATACATAAAAATCACAAATATGATATTAGAAGTAAAAGACTCAATCTGTTCTTCTGGTTCTCTGCAGGATTATACATACAAAATTGCTGTATGTTACTTAGTTTGAAATTTCAGGAAGACAAGTTAATTGGGCAAGAGTTCTTAATTCTTGGGTCATAGACCACCACTTTCCCCATCCCTATTCCTCCTAAAAAAAAAAATCCATTGGGAAGTCGTGAAACTTCACCTACATTCCAGGCTGGGGAAGTAATTTGAGTAACATTCTGGTAGAAACAGAAGGGTGTTACTTGGGGAAGATGTGATTGGGAGCTAGGCTGAGGAATTTAGCTTTTAATCTGTATGTCAGTTATCATTGCTATCATTTTTTCATTAATCTCACCAAGTCATCTGTGTCCCACTGGGAATTTAACATTGAATTATGGATATTATGGATAGTTTCAACTTAGCTGTGTCATGATTAAGAGGTGTTTTGTTTTTTTGGGGTTTTCTTGTTTGTTTGTTTTGAGACAGGGTCTCTCTCTGTCTCCCAGGCTGGAATGCAGTGGCATGATCTCTGCGCATTGCAACCTCTGCCTTCTGGGTTCCAGCAATTCTCCCACCTCAGCCTCCGGAGTAACTAGGGCTAGCGGTATACATCACCACACCTGGCTAATTTTTGTTATTTTCTTGTAGAGACAAGGTTTTGCCATGTTAGCCAGGCTGATCTCAAACTCCTGGATCTGCCCGCCTCAGCCTCCCAAAGTGCTGGGATTACAGACATGAGCCACCTTCTATTAAAAGAGGCCACCTGGCCTCTTGTATTTTTTAAAATTTTTTAATTTAAATTTTAATTAAAATACATTTTTAAACTTTTCTAAAAGCGTTAAGAAATTTCACAGCTGGGCACTGTGGCCCACGCCTGTAATCCCAACACTTTGGGAGGCTGAGGTGGGCAGATCATGAGGTCAAGAGATCAGGACCATTCTGGCCAACATGGTGAAACCCCATCTCTACTAAAAATACAAAAATTAGCTGGGCATGGTGGCGGGCACCTGTATATAGTCCCAGCTACTCAGGAGGCTGAGGCAGGAGAATCGCTTGAATCCAGAAGGCAGAGGTTGCAGTGAGCCGAGATCACGCCACTGCACTCCAGCCTGGCAACAGAGCGAGACTCCATCTCAAAAAAAATAAAAATAAAAAGGAAAGAAATTTCAGCTATTAAGGGTTGTGCAGAAATAGACCACGTGGATATATTAAAATATATGACTTTGGCTGGGTGTGGTGGCTTATATTCAGCATTCTGGTTCACAAGGTTCAAGCCCCATCTAAGCACCCCTTTTTTTTAAATCTTTGGGAACTTTGGTGAAAATGTTTAAAGTTAACACAGTGAGTCATGCCTATAATCTCAGCACTTTGGGAGGTCAAGGCAGGCAGATCATTTGAGTCCAGGACTTCCAGACCAGCCTGGACAACATGGCAAAACCCTGTCTCTACAAAAAAATACAAAAAATTAACCAGATGTGATAGTATGCACCTATAGTCCCAGCTACTGGAGAGGCTGAGGTGGGAGGATTACCTGAGCCCAGGAGGTTGAGGCTGCAGTGAGCCATGTATTGCACCACTGCACTCCAGTCTGCATGACAGTGAGACAGTGTCTTAAAAAAAAAAAAAAAAAAAAAAACAGGCTGGGCGCGGTGGCTCACGCCTGTAATCCCAGCACTTTGGGAGGCCGAGGCTGGCGGATCATGAGGTCAGGAGATTGAGACCATCCTGGCTAACATGGTGAAACCCCGTCTCTACTAAAAATACAAAAAAAATTAGCCAGGAGTGGTGATGGGCGCCTGTAATCCCAACTTCTCGGGAGACTGAGGCAGGAGAATGGCGTGAACCCGGGAGGCGGAGCTTGCAGTGAGCTGAGATCGCGCCACTGCACTCCAGCCTGGGTGACAAAGCAAGACTCCGTCTCAAAACAAACAAACAAAAACAATTTAGGTCAAGATTAGACAATGTGTGGGTGCAGTCAATTTTTTTTTTTTTTTTTTTTAATGGAGTCTTGCTCTGTCGCCCAGGCTGGAGTTCAATGGCACGATCTCAGCTCCTGCAACCTCCACCTCCCGGGTTTAACAACTCTCCTGCCTCAGCCTCCCGAGTAGCTGAGATTACAGGCGTGTGCCACCACACCCGGCTGATTTTTGTATTTTTAAAGTTCAGTTGATTCTCATGTATACCCAACACTGCTCTATTTAAAATGAAGAGGTGGCCTGGCGTGGTGGCTCAGGTCTGTAATCCCAGCACTTTGGGAGGCCGAGGCAGGCAGATCACAAGGTCAGGAGTTTTGAGACCAGCCTAGCCAATATGGTGAAATCCTGTGTCTGGTGTTTTGTTTTGTTTTGTTTTGTTTTGTTTTGTTTTGTTTTGTTTTTGTTTTTGTTTTTGTTTTGAGAAGAGTCTTTGCTCTGTCGTCCAGGCTGGAGTGCAGTGGCGCCGTCTCGGCTCACTGCATGCTCTGCCTCCTGGGTTCACGCCATTCTCCTGCTTCAGCCTCCTGAATAGCTGGGACTACAGGTACCTGCCACCACGCCTGGCTAATTTTTTGTATTTTTAGTAGAGATGGGGTTTCACTGTGTTAGCCAGGATGGTCTCGATCTCCTGACCTCGTGATCTGCCCATCTCGGCCTCCCAAAGTGCTGAGATTACAGGCGTGAGCCACTGCGCCCAGCCAAAACCCCATCTCTACTAAAAATATACAATTACCCGGGCATGGTGGCATGCGCCTGTAGTCCCAGCTGCTTCGGAGGCTGGGGCAGGAGAATCATTTGAACCCAGGAGGCAGTGGTTGCAGTGAGCTGAGATCACGCCATTGCACTCCACCCTGGGCAACACAGCAAGACTTCATCTCAAAAAAAAGAAATTATTTTAAATTATATTTTAGGCTGAGTGCGATGGCCCACACCTATATTCCCAGCACTTTGAGAGGCTAAAGGAGGAGGATCACTTGAGGCCAAGGGTTTGACACCAGCCCTGGCAACATAGTGAGGTCCCATCTCTTTTATTTTTAAAAAATTTTTAAAATACATTTGAAAACTTCTAAAAGCATTAGGAAATGCATTTCAGCTATTAAGGGTTGTACAAAAATGGACTATAAGTATATATTAAAATATGTGACTTTGGCTGGGTGTGGCAGTTTACAGTTGTAATCCTAGCACTTTGGGAGGCTGAGGCGGGTGGATCACGAGGAGGTCAGATCAAGACCATCCTGGCTAACATGGTGAAACCCGCCTCTACTAAAAATACAAAAAATTAGCCGGGCGTGGTGGTGGACACCTGTGGTCCCAGCTACTCAGGAGGCTGAGGCAGGAGAATGGCGCGAACCCGGGAGGCAGAACTTGCAATGAGCTGAGATTGCCCCCCTGGCCCTCCAGCCTGGGTGACAGAGTGAGATTATGTCTCAAAAAAAAAAAAAAAGAAAAGAAAAATGTGTTATCAGTTTATGTAATGTTTGTGCGTTTTGTATGTACAAATGCTAAGTGATCCTTCATTTGGAATCCAACGTCCTTCATTTGATATGCTAATCATGGATGCTTTGTAGGTGCTGGAGCTGGCAGGTAATGCTTCTAAGGATCTCAAAGTAAAGCGTATCACTCCGCGTCACTTGCAGCTTGCAATCCGTGGTGATGAAGAGTTGGATTCTCTTATCAAGGCTACCATAGCTGGGGGTGGTATGTATTACTACTTAAGCCTTGATTCTTACTGGTCTTTCTGACTAATATATCGTTCAGATCAATGATACAGTATATTTGATTGGTTAACTAGAAAGCATATAAACTTTAATTTCATAAATATTAAATCTATAACAATTCTAAGCTTCTTTTCATAATGATCTGAATAAATATTTCCTTATACCCATATGTAATGCTATTTTTATTTTAGCCAGTTCTTTATCTAAATTTCATATGATACTTAAAGCCTGATGTTTAACATATTTCCCATACCTTTTTAACTGTTTGAAAAATGAGTTGGAGAAGTCGCATAACATACACTGGGAAGGGTTGAAATAAATACACTTGAAAAGTGGGTCAGGATCAGTGAAAGTGAGAGGTAAGTTGGTGGTTCTTAATCTTATTTGGATAACCCTCGGAGAACATCATGAAAGCGATGGTTACAGCTGGGCGCGGTGGCTCACATCTGTATCTCAACACTTTGGGAGGCTGATAGGCAGGCGGATCACCCGAGGTCAGGAGTTCAAGACCAGCCCGTCCAATGTGGTGAAACCCCGTCTCTACTAAAAATACAAAAATTAGCTGGGCATGGTGGTGCATGCCTGTAATCCCAGCTACTCAGGAGGCGGAGGCACAAGAATCACTTGAACCCAGGTCGCAGTGAGCTGAGATTACACCACTGCACCCCAGCGTTGGCAACAAAGCGAGACTATCTCAAAAAAAAAAAAAAAAAACTGGTTACTCTTCTCGAAAAATGCACAAAAAGTCACACAATTTTACATACAGTTTTAAAGGGTTCACAGACCCGTGGGGGGTAGCCATTGGTTTAGATAGTTTAACAGTATCAGAATATGAAAAGGGACCTAATTTCATTTTTTGTATAATTAACTTCTTACTTGAGGCAAAAACTTTAAAAGTTTTTAATAACTTTTTTTAATTTCATTCTAGGTGTGATCCCTCACATCCACAAATCTCTGATTGGAAAGAAGGGACAGCAGAAAACTGCTTAGAGGGATGCTTTAACCAACCCTCTTCCTCCCTGTCGTTGTACTGTAACTGGGACAGAAGAAATAATGGGGATATGTGGAATTTTTAACAACAGTTAAATGGAAAAGCATAGACAATTACTGTAGACATGATAAAAGAAACATTTGTACGTTCTTAGACTCGAAGTTTGATAAAAGTACCTTTTCATGTGGTGACAGTTGTGTGTTGATTGGCTAGGTTTCTCCCGCGTGTTTTATACAAAAATGGAATTGATAAACCATTTTTTACAAAATTAATTTGTCTCAAAACTGTTCTGTTCATGATGTATTAGAAATATTTTGCTCAGACTTTAAATATTTTAAATCTCAGATTGGTTATTCAGAGTAACCTTGGAACAGAAATTGGGAATATAGCTTTACAATGATTGATACCATGGTATATTGACTCTTACATGCTGTTGATCTGTAGCACCATTTTTTACAAACCACTAGGAAAAAAGCCTGCCAATTAAATCATGATACACCATCAATTATGAGACATCCCAATTTGAGAGATGTTAGATTATGGAAAAGTGTGCATTTATGACTGAAATGGTAATGGAATTATTTGAATTCTATACTGAGCACTTACCATTTGCCAGGCCCTTTGCTGAGTGCTCTACTGACTAAGAAATTTTATTCCCCCCACATTATAGATGTGGAGTCTAAGGGTCACAGAAATTGTATGCTATGCCAAAAAAACATTCAACTAGTAGATAGAAAATGACAGAGCTATGATTCAAACCTAGATCTGGCTGACTTCAGAGCCTGATGTTCAGTTTATCAAAGGTTTTTCCTTTTGGTTTAAAATCCCAATTTTTGGCCAGGCATGGTGGTTCACGCCTGTAATCCCAGCACTTCGGGAGGCTGAGGCTGGTGGATCACTTGAGGTCAGGAGTTCGAGACCAGCCTGACCAACATGGTAAAACGCCATCTCGACCAGGCACAGCGGCTCATGCCTGTAATCCCAGCGCTTTGGGAGGCCGAGGCGGGCGGATCACAAGATCAGGAGATTGAGACCATCCTGGCTAACACAGTGAAACCCTGTCTCTACTAAAAAAAGAAAATAAAATTAGCTGGGTGTGGTGGCACGTGCCTGTAGTCCCAGCTACTCGGGAGGCTGAGGCAGGAGAATGACATGAACCGGGGAGGTGGAGCTTGCAGTAACCCAAGACGGCACTACTGCACTCCAGCCTGGCGACTGAGCGATACTAGGTCTCAAAAAAAAAGTCTCTACTAAAAATACAGAAATTAGCCAGGCATGGTGGTACATGCCTGTAGTCCCAACTACTTGGGGCACTGAGGCACAAAAATCACTTGAACCCAGGAGGCAGAGGTTGCAGTGAGCCAAGATCACACCACTGCACTCTAGCCTGGGTGACAGAGTGAGACTCTGTCTCAAAAAAAAAAATAAAATCCCAACTTCTAGTAGTCTCTTAATGATGCAATAACAGTAATTTGTACAATCTTTTAAAAATTATTTTTATTTATCAGTTTCCAAGAAACTTTTTTTGTTTTGAGACAGGGTCTTGCTCTATTGCCCAGGTTGGAGTGTAGTAGCGTCATCCTGGCTCACTGCAGCCTCCACCTCTCAAGCCCAAGCAGTACGCTTACCTCAGCCCTGCAAATAGCTGGGACCGTAGGGGCATGCCACCATACCTGGCTAATTTTTTTTATTTATGTAGAGACAGAGGTCTCCCTATGTTGCCCAGGTTGGTATTGAACTCCTGGCTCAAGCCATCCTCCCCCCTTGGCCTCTGAAGTACTGGGATTACAGGCATAAGCCACCATGCCCTGCCCTAAATAACTGTTAAACTTGAGTTAATGTACTAGTAGACCCTTAGAAAATTATATTTTTCTGCTTGCAAGTCTTCATTAAAGAAGGAAATTTTTTAATGTTTTATAGTATAATGCTCTCCAAACTCATTTTTTTAAACATTTTATAATGGAAATTTTCACAAATACACAAAAAGAATAGCAGAATGAAGCCCCGTGTACCCATCCTCCAACTTCAACAGCTGTCCTGTGGTCAGTCTTGTTTACCTGCATCCCCACCTGTCCCCTGCCCCAACTCACAGGGATCAGTTTGAGTCCCATTACAGGCATCGTATTTTCATGTCTGTGTGATCAGAGACATAATTCAAATATAACTCTAAAGATAGGGTACTTTTTAGAACATAACCACAATACCATTGTGTAAGACTGCTAAAATATTTTTTGATGCCAAGTACCAGTCAATATTCAAACTTCCCTGATTGTCTCATAAGTTTTTTTTTTTAACGGTTTGTTTGAATCAAGATCCAGACGAGATCTAGATCTTGCATTTTGTTAATCTAACCTATAGATTTAACTTTCCTGTTTTTAATTTTTGAAGAAACTAAGTTGTTCATCCTATAGAATTGTCCCTCAGTGGACTTGACTGAATGTATCCTAATGGGATCATTTATACCTTTTCTGTCTCCTGTACTATAAACTGACAGATCTATAGGGCTTTTGTTGTTCTGTTTTGCTTTTTCACAAAAACAATTCATAGGTGATATATGCTCCCTGTTGTATCACATCACGGCACATAATGGCTCTCATCTTGTAACATTAAGATTGATAGTAGGTTTGGATGCTGCCAGCCCACTCCATTCATTATAAAAGTTCTCTATCAGCTTTTCCCCTGATGGATTTAGCCATCATTAATGTTATTTGCCCAGATCTGGGATTCTATCAGAGGTTGCCAACTGGTGATATCTTGTCATTCCTTCTGCATCTATTAGCTGGAATCCTATAAAGAACTTTTGCTCATTAATTCACAAGGCAGGATAAAATAGAAATTTCAAATTCTGATTGGATTATCTAGGCACCCATTTTGAAGTTTCTGTATTGAGAGTCAGGCCTACAGTAAAAGTAGCAATAGAAAGCTGATTGTTTAAAAAAAAAAAAAAGGAGGGGGTGCAATATAATCAACAGACCTTCCTTTGGTTGAATCACTTGATTCAGGGCAATTTTTACTACAGTTTTATAGATAATTGCTTCAAATGTCTAATTCATTTTGGTTGGATAGTTACTTGACTACATAATTTCTTCCCAGGGTTGTACTTGTTTTCTAACAAAAAACGCAGAAATAGAACAACTAGGCCAGGTACTCTGGGCCTAACTCTCACAGTTATCATCAGTCTTGTTTCATTTGTACCCAACCCCATGAGTTATTTTAAAGCATGTTCCAGATACCATATCACTTCATGTATAATACCTTAATACATATCTAAAAGATAGCTTTTATTTTTTTTAATTTTTTTTTTTTTCAGACAGAATCTTGCTCTGTTGCTCAGGCTGGCCTGCAGTGGCACAATCTCAGCTCACTGCAACCTCCACCTCCCAGGTTCAAGTGATTCTTCTGCCTCAGCCTCCTGAGTAGCTGGGATTACAGGCGCCTGCCACCATGCCTGGCTAATGTTTGTTCTTTTGTTTTTGCTTCTGAGACAGGATCTCACTCTGTTGCCTAGGCTGGAGTCCAGTAGCCTAATCTCAGCTCACTGCAGCCTCCGCCTCTCCTGCCTCAGCCTCCCAGGCAACTGGGACTACAGACATGTGCCACCATGCCCAGCTAATTTTTGTGTCTGTTTGTTTGTTCGTTTGTTTAGTAGAGATGGGGTTTCACCATGTTGGCCAGGCTGGTCTCAAACTCCTGACCTCAAGTGATCCACCCGCCTCAGCCTCCCAAAGTGCTGGGATTACTGGCATAAGCCACTGTGCCCAGCCTAAAAAGTATTTCTTATCATTAAAAACAACACCTGGTCTAACTAGTGTTAACACCTAAGAAATCATCAGATCTGTATTTTAGATAGTACAACACAGTGAAGTGCAATGGCACTTCAAGCAGAGGGAAGGACTTCTTTTTCTTTTTTTAAATAGAAGGTGTGAGAACCTGAACTGGGCCTGGTTTGCATTTGGGAAGAGTGCAGTGGGGAAACAACACAAATAAGGTCTTGAGAATGAAGAATGGCGTTTATATGGAAAGTTGTAACAAATGGCCTGGAGAGTATCTGACTCTTTATGAAACATTTAATGAGAAATGTGACTTGCTTTGGTGCCTATGGTTGAATTTATTGCGATGCATCTGACATTTTATTATGAAAATTTTCAAACATGCAAAAAAGTTACAGTAGTTATCCAGTGAATTTTTATACTCACCACCTATATCTATAATTAACATTTTACTTGTATTTTATCCAGTTATCAGCTCATCTATGAAATGGCCCTTATTTATTTGCCTGCTGTTTTTATTCTCTATTTGTCCTGTTATTTCTTATTAGAGAAGAGAAGGTGTTCTTAGATCAGAAGATGTCGTTGTATTAGGTGACTGCAAGGTTTTGGTGATCTAGTGAAACAAGATTCTACTGGGATGTGTGCTGAGCTGAACCAAGGAACCGCCCAAATGTGCTGAACAAGGACATTTGCTTCTCAGATACGTGAATTCAATTTTAAGCAAGACTCTTGATCTGCTTCAGAGCAGCTTTGATTTAAAGTAATTTCAGAGCACTTTTCCTTGCATATGAGTAATTTTCTGAATGTATAAAATGTTCTGTTTATGTTTGACCTTTCGGATAAACTGTGTTGCTGCAGTGTTGGTCCATACTACCATCCTGAGTGAAGACTTAGTAAGTCTGGGGATCTCCAGGCACTGGAAAGGGTGAGAACCTGGGAGTGAAAGGGTTATAGTTAGTGTCCGTTTTTCAGGTTTTGTTTCATAGGGAGTCCTGAGTGGGGTAACCTGAAATGTGTAACAGTTGAAGACCATCCCATTCCTATCCCCAGTAAAAATAGGCTTTTCCACAATCTTCTACCAGTTAACTTAGCTTTTTTTTTTCTTCAATAGAGGCTCACTCTTGTCACCCAGACTGGAGTGCAATGGCACGATCTTGGCTCACTGCAAGTTCAGCCTCCTGTGTTCCAGCGATTCTCCTGCCTCAACCTCCCAAGTAGCTGGGATTACAGGCGCATGCCACCATGCCCAGCTAATTTTTGTATTTTTGGTAGAGACGGGGTTTCACCATGTTGGCCAGGCTAGTCTCAAACTCCTGACCTCAGGTGATTTGCCTGTCTAAGCATTCCAAAGTGTTGGGATTACTGGCGTGAGCCACCAGGCACAGCCAACTAGCATTTCTTAAGGTGAAAATACATGGTGTTAATTTATATTTTGAGTGAGGCCCAGTCCAGCTGCTATAACTGCTTGGATACTTGGCAGAGGACAGAGTACTGCAAAACTTTTGAAGGGAGAGGGCATTTTGCCTTGAGTGCTGTAGATGTACAAGAGAGGTTCCAGGAGGGGGTGATAAGCAGAATTTTGGTCCCCATCACCTTCCATGCCCAGTGTTATGTCTGTGAATGTGTTACATTATGTGGTAAAAGGGACTTTGCAGATGTAACTAAAATTTCTAAAATAGAGATAT